AGGGGGTTGGAACAAGATCTTTAAGGTCCCTTCCAGCCCAACCCATCCTGTTCCCTCCTCTCCCCTGTTAGTTCTCAGTGCTGTGGGACCAGCCTGGCAGTGAAGTTTTGAGGCTCTGAGGTTGCCAAACTCCACAACAGCTGATAAAACCTGCTTTGTGTTTTTTTTTCAGTGTTGAGTACGAGACATTTGACATACTGGAAGATGAAGAGGTAATTAACCTAATTAACCTCCTCCATCCCTGGGGGGTCATGTTGCTCCTGCTCCAGACAAATCTCACATGTGAGTTGGTTTCTTCCAGGTACGACAGGGGCTGAAAACCTTCTCCAACTGGCCCACGTACCCTCAGCTCTACGTGAAGGGTGAACTGGTTGGAGGAGTGGATATTGTGAAGGTAGGACTGGGGGCACCTTGCTGGAGGTGTGAAGTGACAGAGCTGGTTTAAAACTCTACCAGCTGGGCCTGTGTGGTGGCCCTAGATTTGGAAACCAAAGGCTTGATGCCTTTTCCAGCCACTTCCATTAGCTCAGCTCTACATCTCCAGCACTCTTGTACACTCAGATTTAGGGGAGAAATGTGTTTTCTGGACAGCAGTCAGTTGCTGTTACTGTAAAGAGCATTTTTACCCCCTGGGTTCATTTTTACAGGTTTCTCCTCCTCCTTTCACTCCTGACATTGCTTTTTTCAATGAGGTGGGCGAGAGGCTTTTTCTCAGCAAACAGCCTGGTTCCTGGGAGGAAGCAGTGAGCTTGATTGGAGCTGTTTGAACAGGCCCTGCAGCAACAAAAATGGATCTGCATCTCTTACTGTGGTGTTTGATTTTTGTAACAGGGCAGGCACAGTGTTCTAAACCCCAAACACTCCCCAGCCCATTCTTCTCTGAATGTTTTACAGCCAACTCCTCAGACACTGGGACTCCTGGGGCTGGGCTGATCAATACCTCTCATTTAGCTCTAAAAATACTGGTTTCACTTAAATTATAGAGATTACCTTAATTGTGTTTATTTACCAAGCATGGGGGTTATTTCAGTGATCAAGTGTAGTCTTGGGCATTGTGGAGATGCTGCAGAACTCTTCTCTGCCTGGTGTTTAACTGGAATTTGCCTGGTTGCACTGCTGGGCCACGTTCAGTTCAGACTGACTGGGGTGAGCAGATGAATGGTGAAAACTTTAAAATGCATTCAGCAGTACAGCATAATATGTAATGAAATGGAAGGAGTTTCTTTTGAGGGGCAGGGGAAGGACATATACTCCTCAAAACATTACTTTAAAACTATTTCCTGGTGTTATCTAGCTCTTCAGTAAGTTAACAGCCTCATAACTTGAATTTAAATCATCAAATAATACAGGTGAACACCTTTGCTTTAGAACTTGGGCAAATCTGTGACTCTCTTGTTTGTTTTAATGTGTGGTGGTAACAAATTGTGAGTGGATGGGAAGTTTGTCATTTGGTGAGAGGTGTTCTGGATGTTCTAAAATCTGGTGTGTGCATGAACTGTGTCTTGAATCACATCAAGGATTCTACAGACTGGTTTGTGTGGGAAGGGACCTTTCAAGGTCATCCAGTCCAACCCCTGCAGGGACAGGGACATCCCCAGCTAGAGCAGGGTGCTCAGAGCCCCGGCCAACCTCCCCTGGGATGGTGCCAGGGATGGGGCAGCGACCACCTCTCTGGGCAGCCTGGGACAGGGGCTCACCACCCTCAGGGTCAAACATTTCTTCCTTCTCTCCAGTCTAAATCTCCCTCTTTGAGTTTCAAACCATCACCACCTGTTCTGTTGTAAGAGATTCTTATAAATAGTCCCCCCCCAGCTTTCTGACAGGCCCCTGGCAGCCCCCAGCAGGTCTCCCCAGCTGGAGCCTTCTCCTCTCAGCTGCCCCAGCCCAACTCTCTCCTGCTGGGCTCCCAGCAGAGGGGTTCCCCCCTCGGGGCATTGCTGGGGCTCCTCTGGCCCCGCTCCAGCAGCTCCCTGGCTCTGCTGTGCTGAGGACTCCAGAGCTGCCCCAGCACTGCAGGGGGGTCTGGGCAGAGGGGCAGGATCCCCTCCCTGCCCTGCGGCCCATGCTGCTCTGGATATCCCAGGGGATAACACCTAAAAGTCAATAACAGCCACTTCTTTTGAAGGTCTGGAGTTTTTTTTCCACTAAATAAGTTTCCTCCTGCATAGACACAGAATTTAAATACAAGATTCTGAACCTCAGTGCCTTGGCCAAGGGGGACCTCTAGTGGGTCCTGCAGTAATGCAGCCCCTCAGTCAACAGCCAGGAAACGATTTCCTCATCCCCAAACTGTCCCTGCTGACATGTCCCTGGGGTAATCACAAAACATACCTGCAGAATCAAACCAAGATTGATCTCTGAGATCCCTCCCCACCCAAAGCATTCCATCAGTGATTTCCCCTCTGTGTTTCTTTCCAGGAGCTGAAGGAAAGTGGTGAATTGTTGCCTGTCCTGAAGGGAGAAAACTGATGGACCAGGAGCTCTCTGGGAGCCCAAACACTTGGAACAGTTGCTCTTTGATGGGTGATTTCTGGAGCCACACACAACGTGCTGTGGGACCCACCACGGGCAGGTGGAGGCAGCACCTGTCACCTCTGCTTCACAACACCCTGCCATGTGTGAAAATGTCTTTCTGCTGAAGAGAAACTATGTCAAGGTCTTCAAATGCAATTAAAATATAATGCTGAGGAACTTTGGGCCTTGTTGTTATGGGCTTTTAGTGTGTTCTTTGCATCTAGATGTTTGAGAGCTAAGTGGTGCTGCTGCTATCCACTGCAGTGCTAAATTGGGGTAAATTTGCATCTTTTTTTTGGGCTCAGCTCCCACTAGGAGAATATTAATGGGTTTACATCTGTGGTGTGGAGCTTAATTATTAACAGGGACAGAAAATTGTTGGTTTCATGTGTAGTGAACGAGAAAAATGCTACTGAAACACTGTTCAGACCTCAATCCATTCAGAAGCTGTTGGAGTTTCAGCTCAGTGAGTTTCAACTTTCAACGAGCCAACTGCAAACTCTTGGGTCTTCATTATCTGAGCAGTTACAGGGTTGTTGGTTTAGGTGGTTCCACCTCTTTTAACTTGGCTTTTGGGAAGTGTTTAAATTCTGACAGCCAATCAATGCAGTGATGAGGTCTGGCTGCCTCGTGGTGCTCCTTCAGCCCCCTGGGCCTCAGACTTTGTCCTGGGTCCCCACTTTGGGTGGTGAAATCCTCACGTCTGTGACTCCTTCAGCTCTGTGCTCAGAGGTGTGAGTTTGGTTTTGATCCTGCTTCCAGCCCCTGGGACACTCTGAGGTGTGACAGGGTCTCATCCTGGGCTGGCCCTGGTCCTTCAGCTCTGTGCTCAGAGGTGTGAGTGGTTTTGCTCCTGCTTCCAGCCCCTGGGACACTCTAAGGTGTGACAGGGTCTCATCCCAGGCTGGCCCTGGCGTGTGCAGGATGTGTCCCTCCAAGGGAGTCTCTGCTTCTGAGCCTCTGGGGTTCTTCCTGTCTGTGAAGTTTTTGTTTTGGAAGGTGGTTTTTGTGTCTCTGTGGGACTGTTTCTGGTCCATTAGGTGTGGATGGTGTGTTTTTGTTGGCCTGTAAAATTCTGGTTGGAACTGGTGAGGGTTGGACATGGTGAGGAGGAGGAGGACACTGTTCTGCCAGAGGTGTAGGACCTGAAGAGGAGCCAACTCCACTTAAAAAAAGCCACAAAATGAAGCACTGCTGAGTAGGCACATGCCTGAACCTCACCAGTGTTGCACCCTGAGCAGAGGTGCTGCCCAAAGCCCTTTCCTCACTGTTTTTGGGGCTTGCAGAGAAGCACCTGGGGCTGCTGGAGCTGAGGAGTTGCTGCTGTGTTAGGAGGGGCCAGGAATCAACCCTGTGCTCTTCAGAATGTGCCTGGAGGAAGGGGATGAGTTGGATGGTGTGAAGTTTTAGGCAGCAGCTGAGGGTTTGGAGGGAAGTTTGGGGCTTTGTGGTTTGAATTCTGAATCTAAATCCTCTGGAACCTGAAGCAAGATGGTTGTTGGACTTGATCTCAAGCAGGTAAAGCTTCACTGCAGAGGAAAAGGGACTTGTGCTACAGAATTCTCAGGGATTGATATTTAATTCAAGTATTTTCTAGGAATAATTTTAGTAATAAGTATAAAATACTGTACATTAGAACTTTAATTTTAATCACGATAAAAAGATGGCTTCCCTCTCCCAAAAACAAGCCTTAATTAACCTCTCCAAGTGAATTACAAATGCACCCAGTCACTAGCACTTGTAACCTCCTTCACTGGGAGAAAGAATGATGCCAAAAAGTAATATCCCTGTGGTCAAATTAGGAGTTAGAAGCTTTAATTAAAACCAAGACTAAATACAAAACGCTGTTTCTTCCACAGTGGATTTTCCTTCAGAGTTCACTGCAGTGGAATTGATAACCTCTCCAAGTGAATTACAAATGCACCCAGTCACTAGCACTTGTAACCTCCTTCACTGGGAGAAAGAATGATGCCAAAAAGTAATATCCCTGTGGTCAAATTAGGAGTTAGAAGCTTTAATTAAAACCAAGACTAAATACAAAACGCTGTTTCTTCCACAGTGGATTTTCCTTCAGAGTTCACTGCAGTGGAATTGAACTGCAGAAGGGTTAGAGAGTCCTGCTGATGAAGACACCTTCAGAGAAGTGCAGCAGGCCAGCAGTGAGTAGTGATGGGTTCTCTGAAGCAGAAGCAGGTTCCAGGTTCACAGGGAGCTCCCCTGGGCCTTGCTGTGCTGGGTTTTGCCAGGTCTGAGGCTGAGCTGGTGGGTGGGTGTGCAGGGGAGGGAGCTGGGGCCAGGTTCAGCTCCTTGCTGCTCACCTGCTGGGTAACAACAGCAACAGGAGCTGCCCACGGGCACCAGTGACACCCCCACGTGCCTGGTGTCAGGGCTCTGCCAAAGCCCTGCTGCTCTTGGATGTGGGCATCAGGGTGATTGATCACTGGAAAAGACTTTTAACATCACCAGGTCAAACCATCCCCATCCCTGCCAGGTCCCCACTGCCCCATGTCCCTCACCCCACATCTCCACAGCTTGGAAACCCCTCCAGGGGTGGGGACTCCACCACTGCCCGGGGCAGCCTGGCACAGCCCTGGGCAACCCTCGAGGGGAAGGAATTGTGCTGAATATCCAACCTCAACCTCCCCTGGGACAACTTGAGGCTGTTTCCTCTTGTCCTGTCCCTTGTCCCTTGGGAGCAGAGCCCGACCCCCCCCTGGCTCCAGGCTCCTGTCAGGAGCTGTGCAGAGCCAGCAGGTCTCCCCTGAGCCTCCTTTGCTCTGGTTGCATGGCTGGGGGATGACAGAGCAGATGGGATGGACACTGAGGTAGGGAGTGAACCTTGGGACCTCCCCTGAGGCTCCTGAGGAGGGTTTCTGAGGGTTCCTGGGTGAGTGGTGGCTCTGGAGGCCCAGCAGTGACACGTGTGCCTCTGAGGGAAGGACAGGCTGACAGAGTTTTCATACAGCCTGGGAGATGTGGCTGGACTTCAGAACCCTTCAGGGACTGGAGCTGCTGAGGAGACTGCAGCTCTCAGACCAGCCCAGGGGTGTCCAGGCTCCCAGCAGAATTCCACCCAGCACCTCTGCCCTCTCAGCACCCGGGTTGATCCCTCAGCTGAGCTGCCCTAGCCCTGGCCCGGGGTGTTTGGGGTGCCAGTCTGCCTGCCCAGCACCCTGCCCCAGCACCCTGCTGTGCTCCAAACCCTCCTGGCCACAGCACAGACCTCGGAGGGACTGAGGGGTGGGGACAGGACCCCATCCCCTGTGAGTGAGGAGGGGGGAGCTGGGCAGGGGCTGCTCTGCTTTGGGCTGGAGATGCTGGGCTGCTTTCTATCCACAGTGTGACTTCCAGGTCCAAGGTACAATGTCCACTGCTAGCTGTGGTGAGATGGAGACCCATCATCCTTACCCCCCCACGCTCCTTGGGTGGGGGAACTCCTGACCTGGGATGAGAGTAAGCCACGACTTGAGCACTGGTTTTGGGTGCCACAGGGTAAGAAACACCCTGAGGGGCTGGAGCGTGGCCAGAGAAGGGCAACGAAGCTGCTGGGGAAGGGTCTAGAGCCCAAGTGTGGGGAGGAGCAGCTGAGGGAGCTGGGGGTGCTGAGCCTGGAGCAAAGGAGGCTCAGGGGAGACCTTCTGGCTCTGCACAGCTCCTGACAGGAGCCTGGAGCCAGGGGGGGGTCGGGCTCTGCTCCCAAGGAACCAGCAATAGGATGAGAGGCAGTGGGCTGAAGTTGGCCCAGGGGAGGTTTTGAGTGTATATTAGGAAGAATTTCTTCCCTGGCAGAGTGGTGAGACCTTGGCCAGGCTGCCCAGGGAGGTGCTGGAGTCCCCAGCCTTGGAGGGGTCCAAAACCCATGTGGATGTGGCACTTCAGGGCATGGCTTAGTGCTGGTGGTAATGCTGGGCTGAGGGTTGGACTTGATGATCTTCTGAAGTCTTTCCCAACCTTCTTCCCCAAGAGAGAGCAGAGAGCAGCCAGAGCCGGGCTGTGCTGCCAAAACTGGGTGAGGAGCTGGTTCCTGGCAGGGTTCCTGCTGGGTGTGAGTTCCTTTCTTGGTGTGCTCCTGAGTGTGGTGGTGGGCACACATCTGAGGGGTTCAGGGCTCTGTGTAGCCCACTCTGCTCCCTGTCCTGGGTGGTCTCAGTGCTTGTCTGCACCCAGAAGGGCAGGAAAGCAAAGCACGGGCAGGAAAATCCCATTATTTTATTAGGACAACTTAAAAATCTATAGCAATAGTGATCAAAGTCCTTTATTTTTTGCGTTCCCCGGGACTATTTGTGTGTGGAACACTAGATGGAGCCTTCTGTGCGCTGGAGGAGCCGAGGTTGAGCTCAGAGCAGCTCCTCCACTCGTACGAGGTGTTAATGCCGCTGGTACTGAGGATTTGTTGGGAAAAACAGGGTGGGAAATTCCTTCTAACGCCTACAGAGGGCAAAAATCACCTGGTGCTTCCTTCTGCAGGCCAAAAACATCAGCAGGAGGAATTAGAATGGGTGCAGAGCTCGAGGTTCCCCACGAAACCTTTTGGAGTGGTTTTGTTGTGTGTGGAGAGGGAGGGTGAGAGAATGGACAGACCATGGGCTGCTGGGGTGGGACCTCTGGGGATCATCTCATCCCACCCCTGCTCCAGCAGCTCACCCCCAGCAGGGTGCCCAGGGTCACAGCCAGGAGGGTTTGGGATCTCTCCAGAGCAGGAGACTCCACAGCCTCTCTGGGCAGCTGCTCCAGGCTCCACCCTCACCCCAAAGAAGTTTCTCCTCCTGCTCAGGTGGCACCTCCTGGGTTCCAGTTGGTGCCCGTTGCCCCTTGTCCTGTCTCTGGGCACCACTGAGCAGAGTCTGGCCCCAGCCTCTTGCCCCCCGGGGCCCTTTAGCTCTTGCTCAGCACTGCTCAGATCCCCTCTGAGGCTTCTCTTCTGCAGCTCAGCAGCCCCAGGGCTCTCAGCCTGG